GACTCCAAAGTGGAAAAATAACGTAGAACCCTGACTGACTTTATTTGGAAAATTAGATATTTATGACGAATGTCGGTTTATCATTTATCGAGGGTAAATTTGTAATTAGTAACAAAATCATTAGAGTGGTAAAAAATATTTTCAAAGATAATGATGATGCGTAAAAAATAAATTCATAAACGGTAGAATTAAAAAACTGGAACGACATCAAGATGTCAGGAAAACAAAAATCTACCTCACTTTCAGCAGCCAAGAAATAAGGAAAAAAGCCTTTATACTGATCAATGTCCAATTAAGTCCCAAATCAACAAAAAGGAAAAAGATATGGTAAAAACCAGCGGGCCCTACGTTGAAATTTCAGACACATCGGAATAAGTCCTATGCGATTGCCCGGAATTGGTACAATCGTTTCGGAAAGGTGACAGACGTCTAGAGAAATAAAACCTCATTAATCCATTAACCATACCGACAAACAAATCTAANGTGAGAGAGAGGGAGGGTTCAAAGAAAGAAACACACAAACAGTGAAAGAGAGATAAAGGTATCAAAGAAACAAACCTTGTATGTGTGTGTGTGTGTGTGTGTGTGTGTATACGTGAGAGATAGAGAGAGAGATAGAAACAAAAAGAAGAAGACAGAGAAAGTCACACACAAATAGTATGATAGAGGGTTCAAAGAAAGAAGTACATAAACAGTGAGAAAGAAAGCGAAAGGAATCAAAGCAATCAAAGAAACAAACTGTGTGTTGTGTGTATGTGTGTGTGTGTGTGTGTGTGTGTGTGTGTGTGTGTGTGTGTGTGTGTGTGTGTGTGTGTGTGTGAACTGTGTTAAAAAATACTAAAAGTTGAATAAAAACCCAAATTGACTATTGCATTTATTATAAACTTCTCCAGCAATTTTAATTTTAAATCACCTCGCTCAAATTTGAACGTACACTGAACTAGCTATTTTCCTTCTAATCGTAATAATAATAAATATTTAAAAAGTTAGAAAACTAGAAAATAATTGTTTTCAACTTCCCAGCTATTTTTATTGTTTATGTAACGTAGGATGGTGCTAATGGGGATTGTTTTAAGCATATTAAAAAAATTAAATAGTATAGTAAAGCGAGAACATGCTAGAATGCCTATTATCAATTATTATAAATGTAGTTATGCTTAGCACTTTTCAGTTTGAACAACCAAAAAAGATAAATGTTAAAAACTGTGATTTTTGATACAACTGTGGTACAAATCAACGTTGAAGCAGCAATAAAGAAAATCATAATATAAAATTGTAAAATACTAGACGAACAATAGTTTATAATGGTCAACAGCTCTATGATCGCACATTCTAATAACTCGCATAACTTTTTCTGAGATGCGCCATTTACATTTTGTGTCACATACATATTTACATTTTATGTGTAATGCTGACAGTTCGTCCCGACGCAATATAAATAACGATAAATTCGTCGAGTATTATTTTTTGGGGGGAAAATTTAATAAAGCATATATTGAAAATTATTAGCAACTATTGAAAACAATAAGTTTTATGGCATTTAATATTTACTATAAACCATTTACTCTCTTATCACGTTTTTATTGTGCTTTGTGGTATAATATATTTTACTAAATGAAAGGTACAAAGCAAAACTGTTTTCTACTCCGATGGATGGAGAAGATGATGCATAATATAGAAAGTTTCATGAAATGATGCTGTCTATCAAGTTAAAAAATATTTGTTACACGGAGGCCACATGGGATCATCAATTTTAATGAAAATATTTTTTCATGATATGTTAAAACATATATTTATATAGTAATACACATGATATTTTCCAAAAATAGTTTTCAGCCATTGTTATGCATGTCAAGGACATGATATATCACTATTCGATTTTTTTATCAAAACTAGTAAAGAAATAGTCAGCAGTCTTTTTAAAATGAGAATAGATACATAAAAAAACACAAAAACCAAATATCCAGATCAGAACACATTTTGTTTGAAGAACAATTCAGATTCACTTTAACCGGTTTTAACAACCATAAATACAATATTGTAATAGAAATAAAAAAGACATTTTTGTTGTGGATTTGACGGGTGAAATTTTTTCCTTAGTTCCACTTACAATGTCAAAAATTATCTGGGTTTAAACCATATCCGACGTTATTACATTCATTCGCAAGGTTAAACCTCCAGATTATGTTAAGAAAGTTTACATCTTCATACAAAGTTTACAAGATGAAAGTTGAAATTAATAAATCTTCAAACTTTTATTGTTTTTCCAGGATTTGTTATAAAGAAAATTTGAAATTAAAATTCCGTTCTTGCCAGTTTCTATTCTAGTTCAATTAAATCATCATCAAAACAATATTTTTTTTTTACAAAAAAGGGTGGAAAGACAAAAGACAAAAAAGAACTGTATGTTCACATTCTACATCATCAAATACTTCAAAGACTCTTCAAACGTTTTATTTTATACCTTCAATTTTAATTTATTTCGTGAGTCTAAATAGGATTCTAAATTATCCGTGTAAAATTTTGACAGTCTGGAAAAATTACGGTTTCAAAGTTATCACCATTTCTGTTATTTCCTTTAAAAGCATTGAAAAACCAAAAATTCGAGAATTTTATTTACTTAATAAATTGTATACATATACGCAATAAATTTCTTTCTTGCCAAAAAATTAAACATACTTTACTAAAAGACGAAAATAAAATATTGGGAGAGAAAGTTCAACATGTCTGGTTAAATACAATGGGTACAAAATTATTTTGTGGCCGAGTGACACACCAACGTAAGCTAAAATCTACCTTGAACCTTAATCATAATTAAGATTTCATCCAATAAATTAAAATTATAAGTTCAAAGTTCCTTAAAGTATAATTTTTATCAAAATAATTAACTAGGCCTTAATGAATAACCGCGACTGCTGGCACAAAATTAGTCAGACCTTTATTAAAATTAACTAAGTCCTATTTTCATAGATACTTATTCTAAAAACTGCAATTAAAAAAACCTCCTTTTAGAAAAACATAATAGCAGGCTAAAACATGAATGTATTATAATTATCCCTTTTAATAAAACTTTAAAAATAAAAAACCGTCGGCATATTATATTTTTACCAAGGACCCTCGAAATTTATTAAATTTATTTTAATTCTGTTTCAAGGTTTATCTCAACCAATACCTTGCATAAAGATTAATTAATTGAAATAAGTTTTTTACTCAATCGGACCACGAAATCTAATGGATTTAGAAGCTAAAATATTTACTTTTAGCAATAATCAAAGTTAATATTGAAAAATAATAAACTTTTTCAATATGCTTGGATTTATTTATTTTTTAAAATAAAAATCACGATTTTTCGATGTCTTGGCGATCCTCTGCTATTTTCATGTCATACATATTTCATTTTCTATTTTTCATATTGCAAAAACATTCAAAACTACTATTTCAAATAATTGAAAATACTTAAAAGATAAACGCCTACATGCCAACATGGCTGCCTTTTTCCGTCAACTGTTTACTCCTGACCATCCCTAACTTTTTATACACCTATTTTTTTAAATCACAAAAAATAATGACCACGTTTACACAAATCCCCTGATCCACAGAAAATTCTACACGTATTTAGATCGGTTTAAAAGTAATACCTCTAACAATGCCGAAATAAATTAGACCTAGATGTATAAAATAAACTTTTGCGGAATTTATATTGATTTCGTACTTATTTTTGTCGCTTATTATGATATAAAATCTAATGTACGTTGACAAAGGCTCAAAGACGAAAAATTCAAATTTTGAACCGTTTTAATCTCGTTGGATTTACTTAAAATCCATCATAGAAAAAAATTTGTACCCAGTTCATATTTTAGGTTGATACAGGGAGTATAAATCGAAAAATTGGTCTTTTTAGCAAGATTGGGCCTACTTTACGAAAGGCTATTTTTGTTTGTTGTGACATTTTAGAATTTGTTTTACTTATTTCTTATCCCTTTTAAAATACCAAACCAATCGGCTGATATGCAGAAACTTCGAAATACATGCTTAACAACGGCAGAAAACTTTATTTTAAAAAATGTATGTACTTTTGATATAAACTCTATCAATAATTTGTTTTATACTTGAAACTATTTTGTCCTGTTACATACTTTCCGAGAAGAATAATGTACTATGACAACCTAGAATAAGCATTACATTTTCCTGCGATTATGTTCGTCTAGCCATGCAGTTTAAAATGTTGTTTATAATTATTTAAACAACATTACATGAAATTTAAACTATACGAACATAACTTAATATACACTTTTTTTTTCTTGAGAAATTTTGAAAAAATATAATATACAAACTGTCACAATATATGGACAGCATCAGGTTGAAAAATATTGTTAAATATTTACAAATTGAAGGTTTCTATCTAATTAATTACTACTATACATGGTGAAAAAATCTAATTCATATTTTTAAACCATTTTTCATTGCATTTGAATCAATTTATACTTCACGAGAAAAATAAGAACGTATTACACACTGAGTAGTAGGCACAACAATATTTTGCAGGAATGATGGACTTGTCATGCACTTTTGATTCTGTATTTAATTTATTTAATTAATTAAAATTATTAGACAAAAATGAAAGAATGTGTACGTAATGGAATGTAGTCAAGAGAAAGTTCAAAAGAAAGAGAAAAGTTAATAAATATAATTTATATCATGCATTTTTTTAAATGAAACTATTTAAAAACAAAAACATTGACGTTTTTATGACAATTAAGGCTAGTAATAATTTATTATGAAACCCTTTTATGCTTGGACCTTGTGAAATTTGTGTTATTGCATAATTTACTGGAAATATGAAATTCCCGTGTATTAGGTAGAGAGTATAACTTATGGGTGGAATTTATAAATGGCGTTTACATATTTAATTCTGAAATAAACTTAAAATTTGAAATATTAAGAAATTTTTATTTTCTATGGAGAATAAAACTTATTTTTTAAGTTTTGATATGAAATACCTTGTGATTGAGCAGCGCTGTGAGAGCTCCATGATCCCTTGTAGCCGGTATCTGTAAACAAAAAGAAACCATGAAATCATGACCATCCAGTCGCAGACCCGGACGCCCATTTTCTCCGTGTCCCATCACAAAAATTACCGGCAAATAGCATGGAAAAGTTGGTAAACGTCCCCGTACGACTGAGGTAGTCCGCCGACGTTTTGATGTCCAACATGATCGGTGTTTGGACTGTAGTCAGTCAGTCCATGGCTGGGTCACACTACACTTCGATCACTGATGTGACACATGTCATTCTCAAGACGGTACAAGTTGCCCCTATAACGCCTAGTGATGGAGTGAGGAGGAATCAAGGCGCCTGCCCGTGACAGGCGGGGGTGAAATAGGCGGGCCTACAACCCCTAGCAGGCCCAATCGGATTCTTTTCATCCCTTCCCGGTCGCAAACGAGATTTTGACCCACATACACCGTCACCTAACGGATCCTACCTTGACACCATGTCTAAACGAAAAATTTTTTTTTCTCCAAACCTAAACCTCTCTTCTAATCCTGAAGGAAGTCCTTTCTCGAGCTATTCTTCAGCAACGATTACATTGTGTGTAATGTTTATGAAAACAGGAGTAAAAAAAAAAAAATCATTAACATCACCTTGCAAAAACAATACACACTTTTCTTTTAGCGGAATCTAGTTAAAATCTTTAAGTGTCTTACTGATTAATTAAAATAACATTACCCCACATATTGCAGATTATTGTTACCTTATGTTTTTGTAAAAGATATAGGCAGATACGTGTGGTGATTAGTGATCGTTAGTCGATGATTATTCAGAAATCGTGAGATGCGGTGTGGGATGTAGGCTTCAGAAAAAACATTTTCTTTATTGTGCCAACGTTTCGATCTTTATTGAGATCATCTTCAGGGCCTGGGATTTACACACATTGTTTAAATTTAACAAATACACCAGAACCTACATGTATTTGTTAAATTTAAACAATTTTTGTAAATCCCAGGCCCTGATGATGATCTCAATAAAGATTGAAACGTTGGCATGATAAAGAAATTTTTTTTCTGAAACCTACATCTCACCAGACTGCATGTCACGATTTCTGAATAATTATAGGCAGATATTTAAACTTTCTGAGCGCAGGTCATTTTCTGAATGAGCAATGAGAAGTCTAGAACTGTTTTCTTTTCTTCTGAGTTCTCTATCTTCCGTCTACCCTCCTCTACTTTGTAAACACACTTAGTCCTGATGTTTTAATTATCATTCAGAATGTGGCCAAGGGTTAAAAAGAACAGTGTTGCTCATAAAAGTAGGCGTGAATTGAGGTTGGCAACAATGAAAACATCAGTACTTTTGACAGGCTGACTTTTCGGGAGGTAGACTGGAAATTTTATCTTTTATTTTGACTCTTCTCAGAGTATGGACTAAAAAAAGAACGGACTTGGCCAGAGAGTACATATCATTATTACTGATAGGCTAATTTTTTGAATGGGTCGGGAACCTTTCTCAGGGTTAGTTTTTTGATGAATTTTTTTTTCGAGGGTTCGCAACAGCTGAGGTGAAATAAACCCTCTTGGTGCCGGTGTTTTTGAAAAAAAGCTCATTTGTAGGTATGTCGAGTGAGAAATATATTTACCACTGTAATCAACGTTCCAGTGAATTAATCAATAGTTCTGTAATTTTCAGTAAATAATTTTGCGGTCCGATATGTTTTCGGTATTGAATACAAAATGAACGTCCGACACGAGAGAATGAAAAATACGCTATGAGAGAGAATGTGAAAATCAGAGAGAACGAATGAGATAATAGGAGAAAAAGCACAAAGATAGAGAGAGGGAGAAATCAAGTGAGAGTGAGAAAGAAAACAGAGATAATATAGGAGAAAGAACCATACATAGGTACATAGATTGGGAAATTGAACAATAAAAATAGGGTTGAAAGATAGCAGATAAAAGAGACGAAGTTACATAAAAGAGAGAGAGAGAATCAGAGAGAGAGAGAGAGAGAGTAAAAAAACGCGAAAAAATACACAGAGGAGTGAAAAACAGAAGAGAAATATGAATAGATGTTAGAATAGAGCGAGAGATAGAAATAGGTAAATAGATATATAGATACATGGACAAATAAGTCGGAAGAGATAAGGACAGAAAGAGAGGGAGAAGGACAATGAGAAGGAAAGTAGAGGACAGGTATATAGAGAGATGGAGAAAGAGATTGATGGTGTGAGAACGAGAGCAAGAATAACAGAAAGAGAGAGTGAGAGAGAAGACGGGGTAAAGGAAAAGAGTGAGAGAAAGGAAGAGAACGAAAGAGCAGTGAAAGAGTGATTGAGAGAAAGGGAAAAAGTGACAGCCACACAGCAAAAAGATAGATAGTGAGAGAGAGAGAGAGAGCAAGAAAGATAGATAAATGGAGATAGAGGGAGTGGGAGAGAGAGAGAGAGAGAGAGAGAGAGAGAGAGAGCGAGAGCGAGAGAGAGAGAGAGAGAGCGAGAGTGAGAGAGAGTGATGAGAGAAATAAACAGACATTGTAATTAAAAATTAATCGACTTTAATGTTTATAATTTTTAAGTACAATCTCTAAAATCTATCAATCGTTGTAAAATCACATTTGATCATTTAAACGACTATTTTCACGCCAAATTAGACTTTTTTAAAAATCCCTGATCGTTTATGACACGACGTGAGAAGGTGCTATTAAAGACCCGGATCATGTCAAAACAGATGATCCCGTGTGGCGATGTGATTAATTACTTTACAGGCCATTAGTCGAGAGGCGCCGGCCTCTGTTTACATCCTCTCGGCCTTCTTTACTGCTAGTGCTTCCGGGCGATTTACCACCCTTTGAAAGGACACACGTGAATATCTCTTTTCGTAATAGGCTTAATCGACCAGTCGGGACGGGAACGCAGCCGGTAAGGAATTGACTCCGGCGAAAGAATGGGCTTTTGACTGACATCGAAAATATTCCTGGGAATTCAACAACAATCAGAAGAAAATTACGTATTATTGGCGAATCGTTATCTTAATAATACCTAGGTAAGATTTAAGGAAAAAACTATTATTTATTTTCATGCAGAAAAGACTTTATACCATAAAATAGCATATTTCGAAGAGATTATTGTTTCTTTAAACACTTTTGATCTATTTTACTTTCATAAATTATCGTATCTTTATATTAAATAACCCGTGTATCAACATACCGCCCACCAAATATCACAGCTCAATACTTCTTTTGTAATTTTCTTTTCACTAACCGGTCTAATATGAAGGGTTGATATACGACGGGTACGCTTTCTTTCGGAAAAAAATCATTTATAAGTATTTTGCGTGTCTCAATGGACGTGGGTGATTTTGCCTGATTAAAAGTTGGTCCAAAATGACGGTATCAAACAGCAGATCTGAACTACACGTTCGTAGTAGCACGCTACGTCACTTCTAATGAACAAGAGCTAAATACAAGTTGTACGAATACGTACCATCTTTTTATCGTACTTATACCTTGTACTCTTGATTCTGATATTTGGTGGGCGGTATGTTGATATAAAGCTTTTTGCAATATCAGTAGCCGCTTTCGTCTCATTGGTGGATGTTAATGTTGAGGGTGGTATGAATTTTGAAATATTATTTCGTATTTGCAGATTTTATTTATATTTTAAAAATTGATGCGGTTATTTATTGCATTAAAAGCTGGTCCACGAAGCAAAGGCAATGACGGTGCCAAACATAGCAAATCTGAACCAAACGTACGTAGTCTCACGATAAAGTAGCTTCTAGCGTACAAGGGCTAAATAAAAGTTGTACGAATACCTATGATCTTTTTATTGTACTTATACCTTGTACTCTTGATTCTGACATTTGGTGGGCGGTATGTTCGTACAAAGCTTTTTGCAATATCAGTACAAGAATCTGAAATATTAATTATGTATTAAGAAACCTGTTAGTGTTGACTATATTTTGTCATGGGCATGGATTCTGACCGGAGAGAAGAAACTAGTCTTAATCCTTTTAGTAAATAATCCTTTGTCTCTGTATACATACGTGTATATATATTTTTAAAGCCAATATTGGGCGTCAAAACTCAAGGATAATCAATTTACACGGTTAAAAATTCTAAATTTTTTAAATCAGTAGAAATAGTTTTGAAGTTTGATGAAGGGGATAAATTCATCGAAAGCTTGAACCAAGCGATTTTCTCTTTTTCAAATTCTCCTTATTCCTGATCTTTTATATACAATTACAATATTAAGTCTGTTATCAACCATATCAAGATTCATTATTTATCATTAAAATTATTTAGTTGCATTTAAAAAAATTAATATTTGGTGGGCGGTATGTTTACAATAGAATCAATATACAATATATTATCGATACAACGATAAATTTATAATATATAATATATTTTTGTATTAAATGTACTATTCAAAAAGTAAGTTGTTAGGACATTGATTTTTGTGTCACTTTGTCTCAGTTTATCACCTGTGTCCAATTCCGGCTCTCAGGTGGTTTGAACATTGTTAAATCTATGAACTGAAGATGTCGTGAAACCTATACCTTTCTGACACACTATATCCAACAGGCACGACTTCAATAACTTTTCTTTAAATGGATCTGGGTTTATTTTTGTTTCCATAATAATGAGCTTTGAGGAATAAACTTTTACTCTGTATAAAGAACAAAATTTGTAAAATGTTACTGCTCACTGGAATTTTCGTTTTCTGGTGTAAACATTCCAAAAAAGAAGTTAATTCTTTAAAAAATCGATAGCTTGAGGGAGGTTATGTTCACAGGTACGGAAATCTTTGTTATTTATTAATTATTATTAAAAAACGAGAATAAAATATGTAGTTTTGCCAGTAAAACTGAGTTAAGAAAAAAACAAGAAAAAAAAACAGGCTAGGTAAAGGGTAATATCATCACGTGATGGTGGGGCTTGACAAAAATTATGCCGAGTTTAGGCCTTGGCATAAATTACGTTCATGCGCAATATTTAACCATAATTATTTTGCATTTCGGTGGTTTGCATTAACACCGAGTTTTTACAATCATTT